TATCATCTATCATCTATCATCTATCATATATAATATATCATATGTATGTATATATATATATATATTGCATCGCCTCTTGACGGGGCCTCGTCGGCTCGGTGCAGGCGCTCCTCTCCGAGCCCTCGGCCAGCCCCCACCTCGAAGCGAAGCGGCGAAGCGCTCAACAACAGGTAACATGTGTTTTTCTTTGGTTTCGGGTTTAGGGCCTCGGGGTTTATGGGCTTAACTTAAGTTTCGCGGAGTTTGTTTAGCTTCGTGGGGGTTCTGGCGTTCGGGGCATTCGATATAGCAGTCGGATCCCCAAACTAATCCTTGTCAGAGCGCGGGCATCAGTCAAACAGAGATCTGCATGAAAACCAATCAGCTGTAAGTAGCATAGCAAAACGACACGTAAGACCCTTGCCGGCGGTCGCTTCCCACGGACGTCGACCATGGCAGGATAGCCCTCCCAGATTCAGCAATGTCCTCGACTCGACTTGTGGAATCTCGCAAAGAGCTTGTTCATCATTCGGGGTCGGCAATATGTGACAAAATTATAGGAGTATCTATTGTCCTGGCCGTGATGTTGCAGACCATGAAATCGTGAAGCAACTTATCCAACACGCTTTCACCGCAAAGTAATGGTGCTATTTTGGTAGATGTTGCTTGACGTCGATGATGTTGCCCAAAGCCGGAGGCAGGCGTGGCTGCTGATTTCGGGATTGAGCACCAATTCTCCTTGCGAACATCTGGGTTTGGGGTTAAGGTCTTCAAGTCTCTAGGGCTCGAGGGATTTGAGGTTTAGAGGGCTTGAGTTGTAAAGTTTTGCAAATTCTTGTTCCGCTCATCCCCATTTGACCAACAATAACACAACTGTAAGAGTCATAGGAATAGGAATAAAAAACAATAGTAATAGTAATTCTATTCGCTGTTGCAAAACACGACATGCGCAATCATTATGATCGCGCGAATATTTCCACCAAGGAAAAAACACAATTCGAATATATATGCTGCGTTTGCTTCCACAGATAACATATATAAATGTCAAGTCAATCAAGCAATCACTCGGTTAGGCTTTTTTATTCTAAAAGGGAAATGTCACGAATCCCTGAGCTCAAACGCCCCAGGGGTAGGCTCAACACCACCAGGGCATGCCGGGCGGGACAAAAGCTACAGCAAATTTATGTTGCTGTCCCACCTTCCCTCCGCTTAAAGCGAGCAAGGGGAATAAGTATAGTCGACTGTTCAACAGCGAACTGTTGCAACGAAAAGAACATGTAAAAGTTGTGCGTGGGAAATCATGTCGCTAGTTTTCGAAACATGAAAAATTTTTGCAAGCAATGCCGGCATGTATGCCACCCCGGCGACCAGTCCAAGGAAGGAGGCCCCGAAGCGACATCAACGAGGGAACCCAAGATGCGGGAACCGGCATGCTCGTAGAAATGATCGCTCGATTCATCACGAACCCACAGCTAACCTGACGGGAAGCGGGTCAAAGGAACTATCAAATTTCTAGATCCGCGTTCATTCGCCTTGTCAAGATTGAAATCTGATTGTACATCAGCCAAGATCTGCAGTACTCCAAATACAAAGGTAGGATCTACTTCCCTGTTAAAGAACAGGCTTTCCTAAACACTCTCGCTCAGACACAGAAAGCCACACTTTTCCTGAGTGGCACAGAGTTGCATCCGGTCTTTCAGCCTACACGTCGCAAACGTTCCTGGCTCAGTATTGTACATTCCTATACACTGCAAACTGTGTGTTCCTACCAGGCACCCCGCCTTCGAAAATAGTGAAAATCGTTCCAGACTAAACTGGCTTCGACAATCCTTTCCTTGAAAACACACTGTTCAAAGTCCACTCGCACTCCTCTCCAAAGTTGCTAAAGCTGTTTATTTCCTTCTGATTCCTGTCGCCCTAAACATATAAGGGCATTCTGAAATAGAATATAGAAGATCAGATATATTTGCTATGGAAAAGATATATTTGAAAGCAAAATTGCGCGATCACTCGGAAGCCTTCGTTTTGCGATGGGGAGAAGCAGAAGTCTGGTTTGCACAAGAAGAAGCACCGATGGTCGCTGAGCAATGCTCGAACACATCGGGCCCTCCACACCCCGACAGGAGAAGTGAAAAAGGGTTGGGCGGGCGGGACAAAAATTGGGCCTTTGCCCAACTACGGGGGAGACCCACCTCCCAGACCTGGAGCCACAATGTTGCACGTGCAACAGATCCTCAAATCGCTCGCATGCAAAGCAGACGATTGAGGGCAAAACTTTGGGCTCTTGAAATGAGACATTTCAAAACGGAATCAGGAAAATAAAACTACATCACCTTCGGTGAGTTTCGTCTTATTTCCTTCTGATTCCTGTCGCCCTAAACATATAAGGGCATTCTGAAATAGAATATAGAAGATCAGATATATTTGCTATGGAAAAGATATATTTGAAAGCAAAATTGCGCGATCACTCGGAAGCCTTCGTTTTGCGATGGGGAGAAGCAAAAGTCTGGTTTGCACAAGAAGAAGCACCGATGGTCGCTGAGCAATGCTCGAACACATCGGGCCCTCCACACCCCACGCATGAAGGGCCCTATGGGATCAAGCTCGAGAGTCTGACACGCTGCTTGCCTTCAAGGTTCGAGCAGTCCTTCCTCGAAGGAGCATCCGATGGATTGCTCTCCGAAGGGACCCATTCAAACCAGAAGTTGATATCGTGAGCCTTTTCGAAATCAAGGAGACGCTGCAAGGAAATGGAAGCTATGCCCTCAGCACGACCGCTGATAAGACGCGACAACGCAGCCTGGTTGTCAGTGAACAGCACAACGTCCAAATGCTTGCGCTCACTCAAGAGATCGATCGCACCCTGCACTGCAGCAAAGATTTCAAGTTCAAAGATTAGGCCTTCCTTGTCTGCTACCCTGAAGGGCTGCAGCTCTCCAGGCTCAAGCCATTCCGAGAACCATCTGAGAACTTGGCCATCTGAGTCGTACAAGATGCCCCCAAGACCGGAGCCGAGCGACTCGTACGATGCATCAGTGAAGATGCACAACTTGTCACGTGCGCCCGTGTGCACACGGCGCGGGGGCCCGTTGACGACTCTGTCTCGAAAGAAAAGCAGTGCAACAAGCAGCTCATGCTTGATATTCACTTGCTTCTTGCGGGCACAAGCCTTCGAGATTATGGCAAAGACCTGCCTCGCACGTCTTCCGTAAATCTGATTGTCAGCGAACATGAGTCGCCCTCGGAGCACGGTGAGCTCGTGGGACGAAGCACGCCCCTTAGTAATCAAGGAATCAAGGAGACGGCA